CACGCAAGTGAAGAGGGAAAAAGCTGTGCACCGTACTCAGAATGGATCCTAGAGAAAGCTATTGACCTGATGAAGAGAAGTCTCAGCTCCCTAGGAGAGGAGAATCCTGAGCCCTACGGCTGCCCCAGCTCCTGGAGCCGCAAAGGGAGAGACACCAAGGGGGAAGTGGAACCTGCAGTCCCGGGGACATTTGCTGATGCAGTAGTCCCCACCCCCTACCGAACCACAGATGGCAATCTGGACGGAAGACACTACCACCAACAACGGAGGCACCAATCCATTCCAAGACGTCCCCCGTTGGAGGTGAAATTCAAAGGGGAGCCAACACGCTTGGGGTTTTTCCTAACCCAAGTCCTCAGCTACATGGAGGAATACGGGCGGGACATCCCCAGTGACAAAGCCCGCATCCGGATCGTGCAATCTGCCCTTGACAGACCGGCTGCAGATTAGGTGATGAACTTGCATGACTCCAATGCCCCAGAACTCAACGACTTCAACCGTTTCATGTCCTCTCTGAGAAGACGATTTGAAGACCCCCCGGCTGATCGCAAAGCCCGCAAAAGGATAAAAACGATGAGGCAAGGCAAACGCCTGGTGGCTGAATATACACAAGAATTCCAGCCCATTGCCAGCAAACTGAACTGGCCAGAAGACATCCTCCTTAGCCATTTCAAAGACAGACTAAATTATGACCTATATGACACTTGCCTGCCCCGAGGGGACCCATACCAACTTGAGGAATGGTATGTCTTGGCAGAGGAAGCAGAGATCGACATATTGAAGAGACACCACCGAGGAAAACAATGGGTCCATAAACGTCATGTCAGAGCCACGAAGCTATTAAAGAAGTTTCACACAGAGTACCCTAACAAGCCTGACTAACTTTTATACCTGTTTTGTTTTCTTTCGGGTGGATCTGTCTTTTTTTAAGGGGGCAGGATGTCAGAATCCAATTATATTTCATCTCTAGTTATCAACTATAGAAAACCCCATTTCTGCCTTCCCTGGATTCTGCCATACGGTGAAGGGAAGGGGGTGAACAAAGGGGCTTTATGGCCCTCACTTTCTTCAGTACACTTCAAAGAGACTGAATGTGGATATTACCAAAAGGACTAACCATAAGAATGGGGCTATTGCCTTTCATGTAGTTCTCTCTGAAGTCTCCATCCAGCCGGCAGTAAGGAAAAGGGGGTGGGAGTGTAATGCCTGCGACTGTCGCTGGAAGAAGGGGGTGATTGGGTGGGGCTACTGGGGAACCCCTTAAAACCTTGAATGGGAGAGCTTGGACCCAAGTCCTGTCTAGAACGCCTGCAACCATTTTCTCTTAATAAAGGATGCCTGTTGGAAGAATTATTCCAAGAGTTCTGTCTTCTTAAGATGCAAAGTGGGGTGGGTCCTTACAGTATGTGGAAAACATACATTATAGGAGAAATAATTTTGAAGGAATCTGTCTTGTTTATCACTGAAAAGCCAAGACCTCAATAAAAAGACATTTTAATCCATACTATCGAGATCTGTGGTGGTGCAGTGGTTAAAATGCAGTATTGCAGGCTAACTATGCTGACTGCCAGCAGTTCGATTCTCACTGGCTCAAGATTGACTCAGCCTTCCATCCTTCCGAGGTCAGTAAAGTGAAGACCCAGATTATTGGGGGCTCTGTAAATGGCTTAGAGAGGGCTGTAAAGCACTATGAAGCGATATATAAATTTAAGTGCTGTTGCTAAGTGCTATTGCTATTTGATTAATGATGATTCGGTGAGCTACGAAATAGACAGGAAAGATGAGTTGGGAGAAACATTGAGGAAGCACCAGTTATGGATAGACTAAGGAAGGTGCTACTATATGCTTTAAAGAAGTTGTCAAGTTTGAAAAAACCACTAATGTAAAACATGCCACTCTGTTCAGCCCAGAAGCAAGTTGTATAACTATAACCTTAGTCAGAATGCAGCCTTGGACCAATTTTTCAATATATGACGTGAAGAAATAAGAAACAAATAAAAATATTGCCTTTCTATTTGGAAATAGAGTGACAGTGAAGGGGAGAGGTCCTCACGAGAGTTTTCAAGCTGAGGAAAGAGATCAAAATATTTTTTTTATTACAGCAATGAAGAAAATAAAGACATTTTGCATGTGTTCAAGTGGCTTGATTAAATCTTATACCATAATGATATATTCACTGCTCTGAGTAGCTTTTATTTTCACTTTGGGTTTGTAATATCACATTTTTTATGCAGGACAAGATTTCAGAACAGAAGTGGTTTTTCCAACAATAATTTGATATTTTCCCCATTCATGATGATTTTTTTTCATCATTATTCAGAAAATATCAATTAACTTTTATTTAATGTTTATTTAACTTTTATTCAAAATCCACCTCCATGCTGCAGAAGATTATTAAGGAATATGGGATATTAAGAATATTAGATAAAGAACAGGGAATATTAGGAATATTTTAAAAAGGAATGCTTTTGAATCTATTCACCAGTGTCTCTCAAGCTGAATCCTTTTATCTTCCCACTCATCATACAATACTGTATGCTTGATGACTTAGCCTTGGACAGAGTTCTGAAAGTCATTTTCAATAAGAAATCCCTTCTAAATTTCTGGCTTTCCATACATGTTGAATAACCAGGATTTTTCAACACAGCTGACAGGTGCCTCCTGCCAATTCTTCTGTTTATGAATGTGAATATGAATATGAATATTTCACATATAATAGAAATAAAGAATAATAAAAGGAGATGAATGAATGGGAAATCTGACCGTTCAAACTATCAGATATTAAGAAAGATATCAATCTCTTATTGATAATTAGTAATAACTTTAGAGAGAGGTTACAAGATATTTGTACTTATAACTGCTGCAAAGAATATCAGAAGCCACTTCTTTATATATTTTTCTTCAACTTTTTCTTTTTTGCAATTTCTTTTTTCTTTGTTTTTTTCTTTTTCTTTTTTTCTTACTTTATATCAGTTTGTTTTAGTTTCATCTTCTTGTTTCAACTTTTTAATGAATGTTATGTACAAAAAAGACAAATATCAATCTCTTCATTTGAGCTAGGAACATCTCTTTGGCTGATATGAAATATTTACTACTTGAAGATTTTTGCCAAAGAACAATTTTGTGCTAAGAACTATTTTTACAACATGACATGGAGTAGATTAAAAATTTCAAGTGCTAAATAAGTATTTGATTGATGATGCTAATGATGTGCCATAAAGTCAGCATCAACTCTTAGCAACCACACAGAAAGATCTTGAAGATGATCTGCCTCAGTCCATTCCTTCAAGTCTAGCAGCTTGATGTTGGTTATCCTTTTCATCATTCCCAGCCTTATTGCTTTCTATAGAGCAGGGGCCTTCAAACATTGCCCTTTTATGACTTATGGGCTTCAACTCCCAGAATTCCTCAGCCAGCATGTTCCTTGGCTTTTTGAAATGGCATTTCCCTTTCCATGCAGGTTTCTAACCTGTTTTGGGTTCTCTAACAAGTTTTTGCTAGCATGTGACATTAAGGATACTGGACAATTGTTTTCACACTCTGTTAAGTCTACTTCCTTTGGTATTTGTAAGTAGACTCTTCCAACCTATTGGCTAATATGTCACTGTCCAGATTGGCTGGCACATTTGATTAGAATCTTTACTTCTGCTGCTGCTACTTTCCATATTTGTGTCAGTTCATGTAGCTTCCCAATTTGGTAGTGATCAGAGTGCTGATCTAACTTCATCTTCTACTACTAGAGGTTTTTGTATGTTTGGGGAGCAAAATTTAAAAGGCCTATTTTAAAAGGCCTTTAAAATAAGAATGGGGGAGCCTACAGAAATGCAAATAATGTTATTTGCAAAAAAAATACATTTGTGTGACAATTGCTGAACACTTAAAAAAATTGTATAACAGATAAGGAAAACATTGAATACAATCCCCTTCCCATTTTATATATTCACTGAATTTATGAAGATGACCTGAACTGGATGGCTGAATCTTATCTGAACTTCCTTGGAAAACATACATTTGATTTTTGTGCAGTCAGTTCCTCCATGTTAGAATAGAAATCCTTTCATCAGCAACTATCTAAATATTTTTTTAAAAATAAGGGGTATTTCATACATTGTTAGATACTTTAAAGTACTTTTTAAAGTATCGTGTTTACATGTGCAGCCAGTGAAATGGCTTGAAATGAAGTTCCTATAAGTTTGAAATGTGTCTGAAATCAAGCTTACCTCCTGGTGTCAACATTTTGATAGATCTCATAACCATAACTTTTCAGGTTGGATAATGATGATACTGTTTATTTTGTTAATATTCAGGACTGCAATAGAAAAAGATGCTTGGTCTCAGTAATGGTCTGTGAGAACAACCTTGAGAGATAGGGGAAGGAGCTATCCTGCAAAAGGTATCTCAGCCCAGAAAAGAAAGCATAGGAAGCAGCTCAGAAGAAACTCTCCCTTATTTTCTGGGAGATTAAAGTAAAGGAAGGGGGAAAAGTGCTTTCATACTTGCAAGATTCTGTTACTGTAACTGTTACTGTAGCCTGCTACTGTTAGTAGTCAGGGTTTGTGCTTCTTGTCTGGACTACCTCAAGGGGCAAAAAGCATCTGATGAGGTATAGTAATCCATAATATTGAAGTGGATAAAAAACATTGACCACAAAAGAGTGATAAGGTTCACTCAGAGGACTTTGAAAATTTTAAAAAAATTAAAAGAATACAGGACATTTCAAATGCTGCAGGCTAAAGCCAGGCATTGCTGTTAATGAAAGTTTTATACATTATTTTGAACTGGACCATCCAAACAATTTCTTGCCTCAAAGTCCTCACAAATGTTCTGGAGAAAGAAGATTCTCAGCCTGATTCTCTATCCTTTCTAAAGTTGTTGGATTTCAAGTTCTGTTTTCTAATTACTCTGAGTGATTCCTATAAAGACCTTCCTCATTACTGTGATGGAAATTTCCTTTACAGAACTATTTTAATTTACTTAATTTATCTTAAATTTGATTGCAGTGAGTACACCTAATTAACCTGATTTTTTGGTGGTAATCACACACAATGGAATCAAATAAAAAATCCGGGGATGGATTGACCGGCACACAGAAAGAAGCTGCCCTTCGCACTTTAATTCAGCGCACAGGATATAGTTTGATTCAGGTAGGAACTTCCCTGTCACATAAATACAACTTTTAGGTTACTAATTTGAAAGTAAAATAAGGAGATTGAAGTAAGGTGACCAACTTTTTTACAGTGAAAAGGAGGACACAAATAAATTGAAGAAAAAAATATCGTAAATAAAAGAAACATTTTATTCATTGCAACAATAATACAGACAACTTGCATGTGCAAAGTTTGCCAGCCGGGTGTTTTGGCGCACTCAGCAGCAATTCCTATTGGCTTTCGAAAGCCAATAGTGGGAGTAGTACAGCTCATGCAAAAGTTGAAAAAAAAAACCATCAAAAAAAGGTGCCAGAACGCTGTTCTGAGCATTCTATGAGGGGAAAAAAATCCCTGCAGATTACTCTTCAAATATTGAAAAGGAGGACATGTGGGAGGACACTTTTTGAGGGAGGACAGAACTTACAAAACGAGGACTGTCCACCCTAAAGGAGGACGGTTGGTCACCTTAGATTGAAGTCTACTACGCTTCCCAATGGCTTTCACCAGAAGTTCTCCCCTAAGTAATATCTTTTGTTTTTTAATGAGGTTCAAATGCTACATGGGTTTTCCAGTTTCCATTCTGATAATCTTGCTGCCAGGGTCTTTCTGTGAACTGCCAATTCACATTGCAGCCCTGCATTCAACATATCAATGCGAACCGAGCATTTAGCAGACGGACAATTAGGTTATTGATGATTGGTCTCAGATTTTTCCAATCAATTGCTCATTTTCTTTCCTTCATGCAGGTTTATGGCTTTAAATCCCATATACAAAAAAATGAATATATTCTCATGCACATTTCTCCTAAATATATTGTATGTATGGGCTAATATATATTGCTCACAAAAATAAAGGGAACACAAACGTATAGGATCTTATACGTTTGTGTTCCCTTTATTTTTTTGAGGAGTATATTTCCTTAGACGATGCTTTTTACATAATATACATAGCTTTTTATGCAGCTTTCTCTAGTAACGCATTGCAACCTAACATTATGAGGTACAAATATATACACACAGAGACATACACATGCACACACATACTTAATTTACCATAATGATTCAGAAAGTATATATTTGCAATTTAAATGAGGCAATGAAATACGAAATGAACTAAGTTCTTCTTCATTCTTGCACAATTCCAGCCATCTTTATAGGCTCTTTCCTCATGACTAGGTAAGTTCCTTAATAACTTGAGAGGTAAACAGAGGCTCTAAAATAAATCTAATGGAGTGAAGACAGGGCCAGGAGCAAATAAAAATAAGATAAAATTTAAGTGCAGAAAAAGATATAACTATAGGAAGACAATTCAGTAATATTACTAGGGATATAAGCAATGTTGAAATTAATACAGTTCCAATTTTTTTTTTCATTAAGGAAAATGGTCAACGAAAATACGGAGGGCCACCACCAGATTGGGATGGACCACCACCAGAACGAGGCTGTGAGATTTTCATTGGAAAACTTCCCCGAGATCTCTTTGAAGATGAACTTATTCCATTATGTGAAAAAGTAATAATACCATTTAGTAGGTTTTCTTTTCTTTGGGGTATAGTCAAAGGAATGAAGTCATTGGCAAGTAACTTCATACCTAAAACAAGAAAAGTTAAATGAATATTTTTGTGCAGTGCCTGGATTTCTCAGGAGAAATTGGAGATCATTGATGTATTTTTGTGGATGTATGGATGCAACACATTTCTTCGGATGTATTTTTTTTCTAGAACAGAACTGCATGTTAGACAGAGAGTCTAACACAGCAACTCAGATCTTACATTTTCTAAAGCAGAGATCCCCAACCTTTTGGGCACTGGGAGACCAGTTACGTGAAGAGCAGTTTTTCCACAGACCGGAAGGGGCATGGTTTCGTGTGCTTCCTGCATCCCACAAATGGGGCTTTGCTTGTTTGTGCAGCCCGGTTGCTGGCATGCTTTGGCCTGGTACCGGTCCATGGGCCAGGGGTTGGGGACCCTGGTTCTAAAGCTCAGAGTCAAACCTTCTTGGGCTCTCTAGAGCAGTAGGTTGGCATATGTAAATCTTATCCTTCAATGTATCCATTGTTCACATGGTTCTTACAAAGCTGAAGTCCTGCTCCTGCTCTGCCTCCATCTCATTCACTTTTAATAATTGCACAAAAAATAACCCACTTTTAAATATTGACTGGAGTTAGTCAATTTGCAATTCCCAGTTAAGCATCTTGTTTTGGAACTCCATGTGTATCTATAAAAGTGGTTTTACAAGGGCTACTCAAATACCTTTGTGGTTGCCTCCATCATTTCTAAGTATTGTTCTGGAGACACAATAATCTTCAAGATGACACAGGATTTAGTGCTGTTGGTAGACAAATATGTTAATATTATGTAATTTACCTATAGTATTTCCAAAGCCTTTTAGAAACTCTTATAGTGGTTAAAGTATTACATTGACTAATCCACATTCATTTAGAAACTGTTAATTTCTAACTAAAATGATATGTATAAAAGCAGATGTAATAAGCCAACTAAGGAAACATATCAGAAATAACTAAAAATCCGTAATTTTTGGATCCTTTGTAACAAGTACAGTGATCACATGACCCTGAAACACTGCAACTGTCATAAATACATGCCAGTTGTCAAGCATCCAAATTTTGATCATGTGACCACAGGGATGCTGCAACAGTCATAAGTGTGAAAAATAGTCATAAGTCACTTTTTTCAGTGCCATTGTAACTTTGAATGGTCACTAAATGAATAGTGACTACTTGTATATTGATCATATATGCCCTGAATTTATTAATTATTTTCATACTTTTATCCTATGTGATATTTCTCATATAATTACATACAGTGCTTTTTTTCTAAAAAAAAAAAAAAAAAGGTCCTAGAACTCACACACGTCATACAACCTGCCTTGCCTACCCTACAAGGTTCCATCCAAAAAAGGTGCCAGAACTCCGTTCTGGGTGTTCTATGACAAAAAAAAGCCCTGATTACATATAATAAGATATATACAGAGGTTTTCTTTCTGACAAATGGGTGTCTTTAAGTCTCACTCTTCAGTGTAAGGTAGATGTAGTCAGAATGGAAATAACTCCCAGGATACTTGATATCTAATGTGGAATTCCTATATATAGAAAATGTTTTCAAAAACTCAGTATGGTTCTCTATAAATTTATATGGGGAAGCTTCTTCATTTCCAAAAAGACACTGATATTTCTTTTTTTTTCTCCTTTGATATTTCTCCTTCAGCCTATCAATTTAAATTGTAACATATTTAAAAGCTAAAGACTAAAGATATTTTTCTATAGCTTAATTTTACAAGATGAATCTATGAGTAGGTATTGTTACTGATTGTGATACTAAAGAGACCACATTGATGTTAAATTTAATTACAGCTGCAAGGTTGTTAGTAGGGCAATGTTGGAAGAAGGAATCTTTGCCTACTTTGCAAGAGTGGTTTTTTAAAGCTTCTTATTTGGCGGGAATGGCAAAGATTTCGGCTTTCTTGAAGGATCAATCACAAGAGAAGTATTTTGCAGTATGGAAAAAATGGATAGATTTTATACAATGTAAGTTGGATATTAAAAAATATTGTTTAGTTTTTCAATAACTTATATTTAAAATTTAAAATAACTTATAGATTTTATTCCTTTTTTTATTTTTATTTTTATTATACTTTCTTTTAGCTTTTTCTTTTTTCCTTTTTTTTATTCTTTTTCCTCTCAAGTATTATTCTTTTGGTATCCATGTTTTTTTATATATATATTATTGTTAATTATTTTATAATTTGTTTAATTAATGTATTTAATATTTAGATTTATTCATGGTTTATATTTTTTTTTAAGATTTTTTGAAGAAATTTTAATTAAGCCTATGTTCAGCTCTGGGAAGGTTGGGGGAGGGAATGGGAGAGTTGGGGAGGGTTGGGGATGGGTTGTTTTGTTTTTGTAAAATTTCAAAAATTCAATAAAAAAAAGATGAATCTATGAGGCAACACTCTTGTGTTCAATGGAATGTATTCCAAGCATGCATAGAATTTGCAGTTATGGCCTAGAACAGGGGTCTTCAAACTTGGCCCTTTTATGACTTGTGGACTTCTGGCTGAGGAATTCTGGGAGTTGAAGTCCACAAGTCATAAAAGGGTCAAGTTTGAAGACACCTGGCATAGAATATACATTTAATTTGCAATGGGTGACTTTTTTGTTTACCAATATTTTATTGTTTGGCATATCTATTTTTTTTAAATTAGACTATTAATTCTTTTATGAATAAAAAAAATATGTAACTATAGATTCTCCTGGGAATCATGGGCTTTCAAAAAATCTTCTTCAGAAAACGTATCACTATTCCATTAGTAGATTTGCTACAATTCTAGTTCCAATCACTGTTTGGACTGAGTGTCTCATATATGATCCTCCATTGCATTCCTGCAACTGATTGCAATGCTATGGGCTCTGAAATCATGCACTCTTTTAACTCTGTCCTGAAAGAACATTCTTACAACTTTCATTCATATCACTGCTTGCCACTCAGATCAGTAAAATTATTTGTTACAGCAACAATTATAAAGGAAGTTTTGATGTCAGGGGCCAAAAACTAGGGAAGAAAAGATAAAAATCAAAAGTGATCATGAATCCATGGAGCAACAATCACAAACCCTTGATAACCGTGCAATATATTTTTAATTGAATAGCTGATTGAGACTGCATTCTGTGAGAGAAGCAGAGAATAAGATCTGCATGTTAAATCAATATCATATAACAAAACAGCTATTTACATTATCCCACTGCCCTACTTAATGGAATCAAAATAGCAGCAGTAATTCATAGGATCAGTTTCACAATGTAGGAGGAACACTAAGAAAAAAATTATGCCCCCCCTTCCCAAAGAATGAAGTAAGCTAAAAGAACAGTATGGTGGGCTGAGTATTTGAGTAAGCATGAAATTCTATCTTATGTTTGGGAGCAAAACAGAAAACTGGGAAGGAAGGAAAATGGAATAGAACAAAAAGACGACCAAGCAGAAACATTGCGATTGGATCGTTTTGTCACAGGAACCATGTATCTAACTGCATTTTAATATCTGGACCAAGTTTCCATACTCCAGCACAGAATAACTTTCATAGTTTGTAGCTAATGGTTGCCTCTAGTTTACAACTGGAATTGAGAGGAGAGTATCTAGAAGATGGTCACTGGAGATGGTTGATCTGTATTACTATATTGTCTGCTGTTACTAGAGCTTTGCTCTTATCAAAACTCTGGCTTTTAAGTATTGGAAGCATCATAAACCTTGAAAAGAAAAGTTACTTAGTGCTACCAATCTGAGCTGCGATCATCTCCATTACCATTAGATGATAGCAAAGAGTTAGACTTTTTAAATGTACTTGGTCCCATCTAGAAGTTATTTAGATTTAGGCAGCCTGGATCTGGTAGACCTAAGTAATTATCAAGAGTATGAGCCAAGACATGTATCATAAACAACAGAACTCTCTCACTTAGTGGCAATAGGTAGAAAACTAATATACATATGTTGAGGATCAAAAGACATTCTATCAAATCCATCCTTTTGCCTAAGGCAGTGGTTCTCAACCTTTCTAATGCCGCGACCCCATAATACAGTTCCCCATGTTGTGGTGACCCCGAACCACTTATACATCACCGGGTGCCAGGGGCGTGGCCAAAGAAAAGGGGAAAAAAATGGCAGACAGCCTTGTTTGGCAACCCCCGTGAAATGGTCGTTCGACCCCAAATGGGGTCCCGACCCACAGGTTGAGAACCACTGGCCTAAGGTAAAAATCTGACTAGCCCCATCTATCTCTCCCCCCCCCCCATTGAACTTCCACTCCAATAACCTTAACCACCATGGCCACTGCACCTGCTGGCTAGGAAATATGGGAATGGAAATCAAACTTATCTGGAAGATAGCAGTTCTGAGAAAATTGCTCTTCAGAGTATCCTCAATGTCTCAGTGTTACCTAAGTATACAAAAGCAGCCATCTGTCTATTTATTTTACTTAGGCTTATATGTCATTTCATTCATAACCAACTTTAAATGGACAATCCCCAGCTTTTAGTTGTTAATGTGGAAATGCCCAAAACATCTCATGCTTGTACTGCATTTTTCTACTATTTTTACATTGAGAAGTATTTTTCTCAATGAAAACAATTCATTGTAACAATATTACCATACATTTTACAGTATATTTATACTAAAAAATTAGTATTGATTTTATTAATTTATTATTACAACTTAAATTAAAAACCAACAATAAATATATCAATTCAAGATAACATGACTTAAATTTAAATCAGTGTTTCTTAAAGTAGAGGGTTCCCCATTCTTTCAGGAGCCCTCAAAAATTAAAATTATTTGCCAGCCTACATAGAAAAATAATACCATATTAAAATCCTACCAACCATGATAAATAGTAGCATGTTCCCCTGAAAATACGACTGGGTATTATATTAATTTTTGCTCCAAAAGATGCATTAGGGCTTATTTTCAGCAAAATATGGTACTAAATATGTCCATCTAGCTGATGATCTTAACTGGGGCTTATTTTGGGGGTGGGGCTTATATTACGAGCGTCCTGAAAAATCATGCTAGGGCTTATTTTCCAGTTGGGTCTTATTTTCGGGAAAACACAGTAGTTACAGCCGCAAATGTGTTGATTTTAATTTTTAAAACAATAACTATCAAATAAAATAACCCATGCAAACAAAAATTCTTTTGGGTTCCTTCATAATTTTTTAAAGTGGGCAAGAGTCCCGAGAGAAAAAAAATTAAGAAACACAGTGGACAGAAGTCTAAGATTCCTGAAACAAGTCAATTATTACTGGAATGTGTTAATAAAAATAATTATTAACATCCCAAGAGCCGTAGTGGCACAGTGGTTAGAATGCAGTCCTGCAGGCTAATTCTGCTGACTGCCAGCTGCCGGCAGTTCGGCAGTTCAATTCTCAGTGGCTCAAGATTGACTCATCCATCCTTCCGAGGTCAGTAAAATGAGGACCCAGATTGTTGGGGGCAATATACTGACTCTGTAAACCACTTAGAGAAGGCTGTAAAGTACTGTGAAGCGATATATAAGTCTAAGTTCTATTGCTATTGCTATCCTGGGGCTTTAGCATAAGCCTCTTGTGTTTGTTTGTTTCAGATTTATATATGGGTCAGAAAACAGATCTCAAATAAAGTATGTTGAAAGGTAACCTGTCCTAAAATGAAATAAGCATACAGTCAGAATTATCAGGGCAACAGACCTTGATAAACTGTAACGCAGATAGCAATTCCTTTTCTTAAAAAAAAACAACTATGGAACTTTATGTTTGACTTTTCCAGGTTGGTAAAATCTATGAGATGCGGATGATGATGGATTTCAGTGGAAATAACAGGGGATATGCCTTTGTAACCTTCTGCAATAAACAAGAGGCAAAAAATGCAATCAAGCAACTGAACAATTATGAAATTCGGTAAGCTGACTTTGCTCATTTTTATTTAGTGGACTGGCATTTTGCCTTCAAAGACCATTAAAATTTACTGAAGCCTATAAAAGTCAATGTCTGGATACAAAACAACACAAAATAAAGCAACATATGTAAAAAAATGGATGGATGAAATGAGACCATATTTTTCTTCAAATAGGACTTTGTAAGTCTGCTACCTTCCTACAACTTGCTGCTGAGAATAATAAAAAAATACACGACTTTTATAGAATTCCAAACTCCAGGCAGACTGTCCTGTTTCCTCTCAGTAATTTGTTCTTTTCCCACAAAAAAAAAAAAAAAAGAATTGACTGTACACACCTAAGCTGAAACCACATTTTTGGACTTTATTTTTCACAGCTGTTTTTATATTTACTGACAGCTGTTTTTATATTTACTGATTTGTGAAAAGCATGAAACTTATTTTAAAATCAGTATTATTAGCAAAGTCACCTGTTATCTTCATTTCTAAATCAACATACAAATAAACAAATTTACAGCAAGGATCAATAATTTAAAATCTCCACATCAAGTCCTGAAGTCTACAGAAAACGGTATATGTTCTGTTTTAGAATCAGAGACATTGAAGCGAGGCAGGAGTAATAAAATACAACTTCTTTATTGAGATCACAAACAGAACAGAATAGCAAACAAAATGGCGCTGGCTCTTTTATACTTCCCTTGCAGGGACAGCATCAGCCTATCAATGCAAGGCTAGTCTCCCACCTTGCACATGCTCACAAGGCTGGAGACAGCCTGTCTGGTCCCGGGCAACCACATGGTCTTCCCAGGCCTTCTGCAGCCTCCTGAGCCTGCTGAGTCATTCAGCAGGCCCAGGACATAACACCCCTTCCCCCTTGGATAAAACTTACTGTTTTTATACTTACTGTGAATACATACTGTTTTTATAGCAGCATACATATACATGCATTCAATTAAGCATGTTGTTATTTCTAAACACAGTTACGCCTGCAAGCAGACAGACCCAGTCATTACATTTCTCATATTTACACGAATACCACATATTGTTTAATACTATCAAACAAAATACCCCAACTCTGAATGTGCCCTGAGTTCAAGAGAACTATTCAGCCTCCCTTACATACATTCTATTTTTTTCACAAGACTATTAGGCCTGTCCTGGAATTGACAAGAACCTTACATAGTCTTGTAAATGCTTGGGGGGGACCCCTTGTTTGCTCTGATCTTTTTAGAGCTGTTGTGGGCGCCTGACCTGCGAGCTCACCTGCCAGGCTTGGCAGTCAAGGATGCAGATGCGCCCTTGAATCCAGAGACCCTCCATCATACTGGCTGGCCGGCGCCTGTAACCCCAGACCAGAGTTCCTTAGTGGGGTGGAATTCCCCGAGTCCACAATGGACCCCTCTTGGGAGCACTGTCCCATGAGCCCAAGACCAGCAGATGGAGAAGCCTGTAGTGCAGGTTGACTGGCCAAATCCATAGACCCAGTGCACAAGTCAGGAGCCGCCTCGTAGACAGAACCCCCTTCTGCAGCCAGTGTATCCCCACTTTCGTGGAGACACTGTGGTCCATGATTGTAATCATGGTCTTCCTCCCCCCCAAGAACAGAGCCAAGAGCGGAAGTGTTGCTGGGAAGCCTCCAGCATAGTTGATCGATGTGCCGCCTTAACTGACAACCATCGTCCAAGGCCACTTTGTATGACAGTGGCCCAGAGAACTTGCATACCACTGCGGTCACCCAGAGATAGTTCATAGTTCCTTGCCCGGACCGGATCGCCCACCTGTAGTCTCCTAGGTGCCCACGGCTATGACACCTGTGAAGCCACCCAGTCTGGGTGCAACCTGTCCAGTTGGTAATGAGCCTGCGGCCCCAGAGGAGTTCAGCTGGGCTCTCCCCAGTGGCAGTACAAGGTGTGGTACGGTGGCAAACAAGAAAGTCAGCTAACCTGTGATGCCAGTTGCCATGAGTGATTCTCTTTAAAGCATCTTTGGTAGTACACACCATACGCTCAGCCTGGCCGTTGGAAGCTGGATGGAACAGTGCAGATGTGGCATGCCGGATCAAGTTGGCTTGAAGAAAAGCCTGAAACTCAGAAGACGTGAATTGGGATCCGTTGTCGGAGACAAGGACGTCTGGAAGACCATGTGAGGCAAAGATTCCTTTCAGCACCTGGATGGTCCTAGCAGTAGTAGTGGGGGAGACAGGAACAACCTCTAGCCACTTGGAATAGCTGTTCACGAGGAGAAGGAAGAATTGCCCCTGAAAGGGCCTAGCATAGTCGATGTATACCCTCGACCATGGAGTATGTGTCTCCTCCCACCTATGTACAGGGGCCTGGGGCATTTCAGACCTTGACTGTTGGCACACTTGGCACCCATGAACCTGGGTCTCGACCTCTTTATCGAGCCCAGGCCACCAGAGATGGCTTCACGCAAACGCCTTCATCCGGACTATTCCCGGATGACCCTCATGCAGAGAGAGCAAGACTCTAGTCCTCAATGAGGCTGGGATGGCTACCCTGCTACTCCATAGGATACACCCCTTGAAAGTGGAAAGCTCGTGCTTTCTTTGCCAGAAACTCTGGAATTCTGCACCAGGACACGTGTCAGGCCATCCTGACAACACCCATGTCAGCATGTGTGTAAGTGTGATCAGTGGCAGATTCTGCAGCCACGTCCCTAGCATTGAGGGGAGATTCAGGCAATTCCCGAATGGAGAGAATGTGCAGAGCAGGAGCAGGATCTGCCTCTACCTGTGGTAGAGGTAATCTGCTGAGGCTATCTGCATGGCCCATTTCTTTACCTGGTTTGTGAAGCAGGGTGAAGTCATATGCTGACAGGAAAATTGACCATCTCAGCATTCGTGGAGATATTATGTGAGAGATTGGTTTGTTTGTTGTAAACAAGCCCAGCAGAGGCTTATGGTCTGTGTAGACCATGAAGTGGCGGCCATATAAGAAATCATGGAATTTCTTTATGCCAGCCACTATGGCCAAGGCTTCTCTGTCAATCTGAGCATAATTACGCTCTGCAGATGAGAGAGTCCTGGAATAGTAGGCCACAGAGACTTGTGTCCCATTAGCCTTGAGGTGGCTCAGCACAGCCCCAACCCCATAAGGCGATGCATCACAGGCTATGCATACAGGCAATTGCTCATTGAAATGAGCTAACACAGCGTTTGAGGCCAGCAAGGCCTTGGCTTCTGAAAAACTCTTTTCATGGACTTGTGTCCACTGCCAAGGAGCCTGTTTAATCCAAGAGCCGGTGTAATGGCTCAGCCACTGCAGCCTTGTGAGGTAGAAATGCATGGTAGAAGTTTATCAGCCCCAGAAAAGCCTGAAGTTCGCTTTTGGACTTGGGACTTGGGGCCTGCTGAATTTCTTTGAGCTTGGATTCAGCAGGATGGATGCCTTCAGCATCAATACGGAACCCTAGAAATTCAGTGGTGGTAACTCCAATCTTACATTTGTCTTGCTTCAGCTTCAGCCCTGCTTGGCGGAAACACAGCAAGACTGCCCTCAGCCTTTCAGCTAAGTTCCCAGATGACTCCCCAGCAATGAGAATGTCATCAAAGTAGGGACAGACCCCAGGAATACTTTCCTCCATCACACTTTGGAATATTCCAGGGACCACATTAACCCCAAACTGCAGCCTTTTTACCTTAAAGGCTCCCCGGTGCATCACAATTTATTTTATTTATTTATTTATTTATTTATGAGACTTATATACCGCTTTAAGTGCAAGCACTCTCTAAGTGGTGTACACCAGTAAGCAATGTATATATATATTTACATTGCCCCCAACAATCTGGGTCCTTATTTTACCTACCCCAGAAGGATGGAAGGCTGAGTCAACCTTGAGCCGGTGAGATTTGAACCGCTTACCTGCTGAACACAGTCAGCTAAAGTGGCCTGCAGTACTGCACTCTAACTGCTGCGCCACCTCGGCTCAAGTTGTTTGGGCCTCAGCCGTTGCCTCATCAACAGGTAGCTGTTGATAGGCCTGAGCCAAATCAAGCTTTGCAAAGATTTGCCCCCCCTCTTTGAGTGAGGCCAGAATATGGCTCACCACAGGCACCGGGTGGGCATGCTGCTGCAATGCCTTATTAAGTGTACAATTAGTCCGCACAAATTTGGACTTCTCCATTGGCCTTCAGTGGCATGACTATAGGGGTTTCCCATGAACTAGAGTCCACAGGTTCTAAGATGCCCTGCTGAAGCAGGTTGTCCAGCTCTGCATCTATTTTGTTCTTTAGGGCAAAAGGCACCCTTCGGGGCTTGATCCTGATGGGTGTGATGGCTGGGTCTAAACGTAAAGCAATGGGAGGCCCCTTGTACAAGCCAAGCTCTGAACTGAACACATAAGCAAACTCTTTGCAAACTTCTACATGGCCTGACATTTGCAGATTGTGAAGTCCAGTCATTTGAATTCCAAGGGCCTCGTACCAATCAAGTCCAATAAGACTTGTACGATTATCCCCAACTACCACCACATCTAGCAACCCTTCAAAACTCCTACGCTGCACTTTGAGCGTGGCCTCCCCCTTCACACTGACTCGGGAATTCTGGAAGTAAATAAGGATTAAATTTGAAGGCCTGAGTTTAACTCGTAGGCCACTTCTGCTGCAAATCTTTTTAAAAGTGTCTAAGGAAATGATCGATAGAGCGGACCCTGTGTCCAACTCCATCGACAAGGGAACCCCTTGCAACTTCACATCAATGTGAAGCTTCTTTTTAAGTGGCCTGTGAACCCCGGTTTTGAAAACGGCCCTACAGGATGCGCAGAAGCCCACCCTGGTTTGGCTGGGGACCTTGGTACCTTTCAGAGACAATTCTTCTGGAGACCGTTCCTTCTGGTGACCCAAACAGACAGAGGCAATGTGGCCTTGCCTTCCACATGACTGGCAGATAGCGGAGCAGAACCGGCAGTCAGAGCACTTGTGGCGTCCTCTACACCCAAAACACCGAGGGAATGAGGTTGTCTGTTGTCTACCTTTCTTAGGCCTTCTTTCTGCTTGCTGCTGAAGTCTGTCTACCTCCAACTCTGGATCCTCTTCTGGAATCTCCCGAGCGACCTCATGATGGATGGTGCTAGGCGTTGGGAGGTTCTTGGCAAGCCGCAAGGCCTTCACAGCTGCTCCCGCTGCTTCTTCAGCTGCAATCTCTCTCAAAGCATCTTGAAATGAGATATCTTCTTTTGCAAAAAGTTTATGTTGCAGCTCACACTTCGTAGGCCACAAACCAAGCGATCCCGGAGCCTCTCTTCTAGATTCTTAAATGCACAAGGCCTAGCTGCTTGTCTTAAGGCAGCAACAAAGTCTGCAGCAGACTCACCAGGCCTCTGATCCCTCTGCTCAAAGGCATGCCTCCATACAATTACTGAGAGCTTGGGTTCGAAGTGCTCTCGCAGCATCCTCTTTAAGTCAGCCTACACAATTGGTTCCAGTGGTGTTGGGGCTACAAGATTCTCTGCAATATTGAAAGTCTCTTGCCCACAGACACACAGCAATGTAGCAGCTTTAAGGCTGTCTTCTTGGATCTTGTTTACTCGAAAGTAATTCTCTACTTGAGCCATGTTGGAGCTCCAGTGCTCAGGGTGAGAAGTATCAAATTCCGATAGACGGCCTAGCTTTGACATCGATGCCTCTCGCTGCAAGGTATGAGAAGGGGTCCCACGAAGCCGAGCTCACCTACAGCGTTCTCGTACTGGCAGGCAATCGCTTCCTCCGGACGCTGAACTTCCCAGCACTTCAGGCCTCCTCTGGTAAGTCAGCCTAGCTTCTCCTGTTGTTCTTCTTGCAGCCGATCCCACCTTCATCGCCAATGTTCTGTTTTAGAATCAGAGACATCGAAGCAAGGCAGGTGTAACAAAATACAACTTCTTTATTGAGATCACAAACAGAACAGAACAGCAAACAAAATGGCACTGGCTTTTTTATACTTCCCTTGCAGGGACAGCATCAACCTATCAATGCAAGGCTAGTCTCCCACCTTGCACATGCTCACAAGGCTGGAGACAGCCTGTCTGGTCCCGGGCAACCACATGGTCTGCCTGGGCCTTCTGCAGCCTCCTGAGCCTGCTGAGTCATTCAGCAGGCCCAGGACATAACAATATGTGCATGTGGCTGGAAGAGCTGGTATTTGTGCAAAAGAGAATTTGAGAAATCAAAGGTTAGCGATTGACCTTAAAGTAAAGTCTTTTTTCATACTCTAGCAGTTAACATTTTGTTGCCTACCTAATTTTAATACTTTTAAACAGATCTTCCCTGAAAAGGGTAAAACTTGCCTTTACAATCTTCTTATGTTACCTACCATTAATTCCACCCTTTTTTAAAATTTACACAAGAAATATATTTAAAGAGAAGATGTTGTAATTATGCTCCTAGATGATTCCTAGCGATGGCACTATGAAACATCATTCTAGAAATACCCTTAATTTAACAAAGGAGGAGCAAAATAAGCTTCTCTGTAAAACTTTCTCTTACTATTTATCCATTTGTGTGAATAAGTTTTCATTAGGCTAGAGCTAAAATAGTCATTTCTCCCACAAAAGCTGCATTGTATTGTTAATGAAACATTTAGCAATTTATTGTTCACTTGTCCCAAAGGGGCTTTTTCCAAAAGGTAACTGGACTTTCTTGGTTTTTTTTTCTTTAAAACATTTCACTTCTCATCCCAGAAGCTTCTTCAGTGCTAGAATTGAAGTTTAGTTCAGAACTGAAGAAGCTTCTTGGATAAGAAGCAAAACATTTTCAAAAATAAACACACACCAAAAAAAAAAAGTCCAGTTGCCTTTTGGAAAAAAACACAAATCTCCATAGACATTTACTGATTATTTGGTTATTCTAGTTGTTCACACCAGTCACAAGCAATGTGGGTTCTAAATCATATTGCCAGCCAAGATTTCCTAAGGAGTTTCATCCCATCAATGAAATTCTCTTTTTTTCACACAGGGATGGTCGGTTACTTGGTGTTTGTGCCAGTGTGGACAACTGCCGCTTATTTGTAGGAGGAATTCCAAAAACCAAGAAAAGGGAAGAAATTTTAGCCGAAATGCGGAAAGTGACGGAGGGTGTGGTTGATGTCATTGTGTACCCCAGTGCAGCTGATAAAGCAAAAAACCGGGGGTTTGCTTTTGTGGAATATGGAAGCCATAGAGCAGCAGCTATGGCAAGACGAAAACTGCTCCCAGGTAAGGCCCAAAAATTCCCTATATGTAGCCAAAGCAACCTCAAGCTGCAATTTGGGAGGGAGGGGGTCAAGAAAAAACAGCAAATTGCTACTTATTGACTTTGCTAAAAGGTCTGCAGACTTATCCCCAATACCAGTATTCACTTTAAAAAAAGAAAAAGAAACAAAACCCAAAGATTGATCTCTAGTTCAGTGCAGTAGCACTTGATGTCATTCCTAGTGCTTTTGTCAAATTTCATACAAGAAACATGCGACAGAAGTCGCAGAGTTATCCCTCCCTCCCTTATCTTTCTTCTCAGTGTGCACAACTTTCTATGCTGACCAAATTATTTTGGCACCTGAGGTGAACCCCCCTCCGCTTTGAACAGTGGAAAACCTCTGTCCCTCCATCCCTCTTTTCAATGTGGCTTGGCAGTCTGCTAGCTGTTTTGCATCTTTGGCTGCCTCTGCGGAAGGGTGTAAATCTGTGTGGGTTTTAAGAGAGCAGAGAAGTTGACCAGAATAGACATTAAGGACAGGACAGGCATTGTTAAAATGGTTAAAAAACTAGAAAGGTTGAGTTTACTCTGCACCAGTGTTTCTCAATCTTTGAAACATGAAGTCATGTGGACTTTAACTCCCAGAATTCCCCAGCCACATTGGGGGATCTGGAGGTTGAAGTTCACATATTTTCAAATTGTCTAAGTTGAAAGATATTTCTTTATATAGTAAATTGGGCCAAGCCTTTGGAGGATCAGGAGTTCCAGTCTTCTGACACTTTGGAGATCCCCAGGAGAATGTCCAGGACCCACCAAATGGAAAAGGGATTATTTTTTTTTCAGTCTGTTTATGTCATTGACACACCCGTCACTGGGATGCAGGTGAAATTTGGAGCCTCTTTAAGACTGACTGTTCCCATCCAATTCTTAAAGCACCTAACCCTGATAACAGCTTGATAACCATCCTTAAAGCACCTAGCCTTGATAACAGCCTGATAACAACTTGAAATATCTTGTCAAAATTCATCCCCCTTTTCTCACTGAATTTTGGTATCTCAGTGGGGAGGGGGGAGGAAGCTGCATGCTAAATCTGATTCAAGGAAAAAACACTTACCTTTAATGTAAGATATGAAGCTAAATATAATAGCAACATGCTCACAAAATCCAGTTCCCAACCCTCACAAGATGAAGAGTTACAGTAGCAAAACTGTTTCAAGCTATTACAGTCCTCGACTTACGAGCACAACTGAGCCCAAAATTTCCATTGCTAAGGAAGAAAGTTGTTAAGCGACTTTTGCCCTATTTTACAATCTTTCTTGCCAAAATTGTTCAGTGAATCATTGCAGGTGTTAAGTTAGTAACGTGGCTGTTAAGTGAATTTGGCTCCCCTTATTGATTTTGTCATAAAAGATGATCACATGAGAGAAGGACATAAAAGGTGACTACAGAGATGCTACAACTTTGAACAGCCACTAAATGTTTGAAAGTTGAGGACTCCCTGTATAGACTCTAGGAAGGTTCAGACTGATAGTTAAAGTATAAAGTATGGGAAATATAAAAAAATTCCTAATCTGCTTTTTCCTTGTCCTTTTCAGTCAACAGTATCTTTTACAATACTGTAGCATAAATTCAGTTTACCAATGCATCTCTTCAACACAAACCTTCTAATCTCCTTCAGTAAAGATGCTTTCACTTTTTACACTTATTTTACTTCCAATTACATTGCAGGACGGATACAATTATGGGGACATCCGATTGCTGTAGATTGGGCAGAACCAGAAGTTGAGGTTGATGAAGATACAATGTCATCCGTTAAAATCCTCTATGTGCGAAATCTTATGTTATCTACTACTGAAGAAACAATTGAAAAAGAATTCAACAACATTAAGCCAGGTAAACAAAAAACAAAAAAACAGCTTGGTCAATATTGTAGTCAGCTAGGAAGTTTAATAAATCAATCCACCATTTATCTAGAAAAATACTAATTACAATTGAAATATTTTTTATTTGTATGAATGCCAAAAAACTAAAAGTAAGAAAGAACTATTTTACTGTCCACAAACAATATTTGTTGGAATAAATTACATCTTCAGTTGACCATGCTAACTGTGGCTAATAGGTAATCTAAAATATCTGGATTAACACAGGCTCATAATGTAGTTAACTGTTTAAAACTGATCTAAAACACCACTAAGTTCTGCTCAAATGAACATCAAAACCAATGTTTAAGTGGTGCATTCCAGAATTCTTAAATAAATTTGTTCTTCAAGACTCACAAACCATAATTTTCCTATGCAAAACTCAAGTTCATACTTCAGTAACCAGCCACAACACTAAGTAAATGATGTGTATATTCCCCCTTTCAAATCCCTACTCATTGGCAATATCAACCACACATAATCTCTTAGTATAACCAAGCTCACAGGCATGTTATATGCATAAAAAATCAGTGCATTGTTTTGAATTTCCTGCAAGAGTAGTAGATAATCAAGCTGTCAATCAATAAACATTATTGTAAATTTTCCAAATTCTTAATCATTATGGCCAAAGTCATGCTGTGGAACATTTGCTGTCCCAACAAAAGTGCAGTGATAAGTCACAGTATCAAAGTGAGTTGTGCTCCTCACTGATTGAACTACAGCATAGCCAGAGGCATACAACTTCATGTAATTTGGAAATCTCCTTATGTTAGAGAATTTGTATATGCAGATATACTTTCAAAAAACAAGTGCTTTATTTATGAATCAAATTTTTACAGTTGTTCATATATCCAGTGAAACCCTGGATAGTGAACAAAATAAAAACAACCAGTCATAAAACCCTTCAAAAGAAACCTAAAGAAGTAAGTCAAGCCTCTACCCACCCACCCAGAAAAATCTCAGATCACATAGAACGTGGATGCACACAAACCAGAATCCCCATAATTAACATTCTGGCATCAAAGCCTGAGGGGAGATCCAGGATTTCCTGGTCTTCCCAAAATCCAACAGGGCTGAGGCCTCTATATTTCTGGAGGGCAGGTGCCATGTCAGAAAAGTCACACTTCCTGGGACTCAGCAGGTAACACTGTTTCACCAAGGGGACCTGGGGATGCAACATGGATAGCAAAATGGGTAGAGACTATCAGGGATAATTGGTCCCTCAAGTAACCTGACTCCCTGCCATGTGGGCTTCACATCTAAAAACGCACATCTTGAATTGCATCCAGAAGCATGTGTAGCCCACAAGGCAGAGGTTTACATGAGTGAACCATGGTATGCTCAATACTACATATGCATATGATACAGGCTTCATTGGAAGGATGTCTTTCTTTTAGCATTTTTTGTCTACTTGGAGTCCATGTGGACAATTACTTAAATAGTAGCCAATAATATGCGGCATTAGCCAAAAAAGCCAATGCAATCCTAGGCTACATTAATAGAGGGATAGAATCAAGATCACATGAATTATTAGTACCTCTTTACAAAGCATTAGTAAGACTACATTTGGAATACTGAATCAAGTTTTGGTCACCATAATATATAAAAAATGTTGAAACTGGAAGGAGTGCAGAGAAGAGCAACAAGGATGATTAGAGGTCTGGAAGCTGAAACATATTGTTAGAAGGAAGGTCTTCATCCTGGTTCATCCAAGCCGGGAATAAATAAGCAAACATGGCGACTGCTTTGGGAAGAAGGTTACAGTTTATTGCAGAAAGATAGTTCTTCAGGAAAGTGCAGAGGAGAGAGGAACAGAGCGAAGGAGAAGGGAAGAGCACATGGGGCAGTAGGCTTTTATACCCCCTCTAGCCTTGTTTGGAATAGTTTCCTGTTCCTGTGGCATGAATCTTGAGGCTGTTTCTGAGTGTTTGTCTAGGCCTTGATATCTATGGTTTAATTCTATTATCATATCCTGCTTCCCAGGTGATGGGGCTAATGACTCCTAGAGTTTGGGTGGGATATGCAGATCTTCTCTTTTGTCTTCTTGATTGCTCTGGCTTCAACTTTCTGATGGTTTTACATTTGCATTTGTATGGGCCTAGCTCTTGCTTGGGGCAGAGAGATAGATTTGGGGCCAGGTTTGGTTTTAAAAAGTCCTTTTGAGGAAAAATATATTTTTCTGCCCTTTTTAATATTTCTTCTCTGGGCTAACTTTCATCAATCCCCGCTTTGTGCCTTAAGTGTGAATTTATGACACACTTATTGGCACAACATTAAAATTGATCTGGTCAGGGAGCCTTGGTAGACAAGCTTTTAAATTGTTAAACAAAAAAAAAACTAATAATAAGACATTAATGGAGGCAGCAGAAAAAGATCCCTTTAGTGGCTCCCAAAAGGGGAGCTTGCACCCATAAAGTTCTAAAAGTCAGGGCAAAATTTTGTTAGGTGGAAAAAAATTTATAGTATCCAATATTCTGTGCCAATCATTTTCAAATGTTGGATATCACCTTTAGCTTCCAGTCAGGTTTGCATACCTCCCAAAATTCTTCACAGCCATGGTTTTCCTTAGTACATGGTTGCCCGTTTTCAGGGGTTGTTTCCTGCCTTAGCTCTTAGTTCAGTGCATCCAGGTTTGTAATGTCCAATATGCCAGGCTATTAAATTTTTCTTTAAATTGCACATACTGAGCTCTAGGAATTCCAATCTGGGCTCACCAGTGCAAGATATTCAGGGCTGAAGTTTGGGATTTTTCCTGTTGCTTCCTTAGTCAGGGCATATGAATTGCAAATCACCTGAGGGGGCCTAGTTCCCTCCCCCTTGTTATCTGTTGGAAATTGGTCCCACAAAGCTTTGGTGCAATAGAGCAAAAATCAGCTTGGGGAACTTTACTAAAGGTAGGTGGAAGGGATAGACTCAAGTGTGATTCTGAATGGTGTGTGTGCATGTATGTGCAGCTACTTTTATAAAATAGTCAATACAAACATTATGGATAAATTTTCCCTCCCACCAGATAGAAGTCCAAGGTGTTCAGTACTTGTTCTGCCACCTATTCCTAAATGCCATCTCTCCATTAATACATTCAACTGGCTTGTTACAATACAAATGGGACAAGAAAGAAAAGTTTACAATGAGTTTCCACCCCCCCCCCACAGTCTAATTTTCTCTTCTGAGGCTTCACATGGCATCACCTTCCTTCTGCAGCTCTCACAGGCATCTGGGGAATGGTAGGACTTGGAAAGATTTTCCACTCAGATTGCATGGTGGCTTTTTAGTGGATGGCTGGATTCAAAACTCAATTCCATGGCTCAAATGGATGGAGGCAGCATCTGGGTCTGTGTGTTCTGCTTCCAAAGGCTTGGGAGAGGGTTTCAGGGCTGAAAGATACAAGAACAAGGTCTCCCCTCTTTCTGAATAGACTCTCCCAGGAGAGGAAGACAAAAGGTATGGAGAACAAAGGGCAGGAAAAACAATTGGAAGGGGGGTAGCTTGCAGACAGTCTGAGAATGCTGAAAACTCCAAATAATTTTAAAAGCCTAATATTTTAAGGTGTGCAACTTTCCAGAGGTAGGAGAACATTTATTCTAAAATAGACCACATCGTTTTAGAGATTGAGAAATGCTTATATATTTTGGATAAGAAAAGTTTCATAGTAGCATCACCAATAAGTGATAGGATACGAAAAGTAACTTAAGGAAATTATTTCCCCACACAAGCAGACTTGAGCTTCAAGAGGCTCTTGTAGACAGACACACATTTTTCAGGAAAAGGGTAGATAAAACACATACAATAAATGCAAGTGAAACTTTTCCAACAGATAAACTTAAAACAATCCCTCCTGGTAACTTAAGGCTGTTCTTGAGCGTACACAGAGAGAAAGAGGACAAACAAACAAACACAATTCTTTTTCTTCACTCTGTTTGTTGGCCAGACAAACAGAGTGAGGTATTTCCTTTTTGTGGCTTATTTTTAAGCATAATTTCTAGCAGAATTTAAAATTCTTTTTTCTTTGGATTTGAAACAGTTAACAGTCACATTTACCTCTCACGCACAGACTTTGACAAACATATATACACAAAGACAAGAGAACAGAAGTCTTAGTTTTACACATCCTAGTCATTCCCACCATAAATTTCAGATAACTCAAGTTAGGGAAGGCACACATTTTAAACATACCATGTGGTTGCATAGAGAAGAGAAAGAGAGAGAGAGAGAGAGAGAGAATCACTATTTCTTATTTTCTCTTTTAAGTACCTTTATTTAGCCAAATTGGTTTCCCAGCAAGGCCCTAAGCAAAGTCTGTATTTTTTTTTCCCCATATAGTTTCTTTACCTACCTCTTTTCCATTCCGGCCTGGACAGGTAACTGGTTCCTGTCCCAGGCCACAAGCAAGCTCTCAACCAGGAAACCTACTTCCGCCCTTGAATTAGAACTTCCCATGTTTCTATAATGGGATTTCCCTACCACTAAAGGTCACGATCCGTCAGACGTCTCCTTGTGAGACTTCTTCCTACTATCACGATTTTGTGAGTCCAAAAAAAGGGGACTCACGGAGCTTCTCTGGATCCCTCTCAGAGTTCGTGGGCTCCTCCGAGGGATCCTCCACGTTTTCAGACCAAAAAGGGGTCTGCAGAGACCTTCCAGTTTCCCTCAGAAGGTACGGGCTACTCTTCGACCGGCCGGCTTTACCCCACCGTTTACGGACGCCTCCAATGTCCGTGGGCACCTCCACTTGCTCTCGGAGGTAGGTGGTCGCTCCCTTCTTGAGGCTTAATTTCCTAACTTTGCTTTGCTTACAGGGCCTTACCAGCTAGTTGCCCAAATCCAATTCTTTCATTCACTCATTCCATTTCATTTTCACACAGCCTCTCCCTTTTCCCTAACAAAAGGTTCTGTGCTCTGGCCAACCCCCATGCTTTCCAGGTTCTGCCAATTAAACAGATCCTTTCTGCGGCTAGGAAAGGCCAGAAGCAGCAAAATCCAACTGTGATTGGGAAAAAAAAGATCTTCTCACTCACACAAACAGAAATACACACATTTTCTTTGTTCCCCTGGGCTTTAAACTTAAAATTTAGAGGTACTCACCTTCATCTTCTTCCCAAAGCAGCCCTTGAGCTCAAACTCTCAAAACTCCCTTTACTACCCTAGCTCCACATGGGCAAGGCCTGGGAAACCCATCCACAGACACAAGGGGGTCTGCTGCCGGCAAGATGGGGCTTACCAGTCTCAGTCCATTGGAGAGGTTAGCTTGGAGTCCCATCTCGGGGTGCCAAATTGTTAGAAGGAAGGTCTTCATCCTGGTTCATCCAAGCCGGGAATAAATAAGCAAACATGGCGACTGCTTTGGGAAGAAGGTTACAGTTTATTGCAGAAAGATAGTTCTTCAGGAAAGTGCAGAGGAGAGAGGAACAGAGCGAAGGAGAAGGGAAGAGCACATGGGGCAGTAGGCTTTTATACCCCCTCTAGCCTTGTTTGGAATAGTTTCCTTTTCCTGTGGCATGAATCTTGAGGCTGTTTCTGAGTGTTTGTCTAGGCCTTGATATCTGTGGTTTAATTCTATTATCATATCCTGCTTCCCAGGTGATGGGGCTAATGACTCCTAGAGTTTGGGTGGGGTATGCAGATCTTCTCTTTTGTCTTCTTGATTGCTCTGGCTTCAACTTTCTGATGGTTTTACATTTGCATTTGTATGGGCCTAAGCTCTTGCTTGGGGCAGAGAGATAGATTTGGGGCCAGGTTTGGTTTTAAAAAGTCCTTTTGAGGAAAAATATATTTTTCTGCCCTTTTTAATATTTCTTCTCTGGGCTAACTTTCATCAATATGGTTGCAGGAATTGGGTATGTCTAGTCTAATGAAAAGAAGATCTAGGGGAGATAAGATAGCAGCTGCCACAAAGATGGGAGGGTCAAACTATTTTCCAAAGCACCTGAAGGCAGGAAAGTAATCAAGAAGAGAAGCAACCTAGAACTAAGGAGAAATTTCCTAACAGTGAGAAAAATTAACAAGTGGAATGTCTTACCTTCAGAAGTTGTGGGTGCTCCATCACTGGAGGCTTTTAAGAAGAGACTGGACAGCCATTTCTCTGAAATGGCATAGGGTCTCCTGTTTGCACACGGGATTAGACTAGATGACATCCAAAGTCCCTCCCAACTCTGTTATTCTCTGTTCTATGTTCAATGTATCTGCATTTAAGTTTCAAGCTGGTCCCCATTATAACTTTTCTCTATACAGTAATTTAATTCTGAGGCCTGCATTCACTCTCAGAGTTTTTGAGGCAGAGGGTGAAATCCTTCTGTCCACACGGCCATATAATGTTGTAAATTCAAAAACATCAAGTAAGGAATTTCCTTATATTCACATATTTAAAGAACACCAACAAATTTTCAGCAGTTAAGAGTATTTGAAAATTTTAAGGTCTGATGCCAATATTTTTCAAGCACTTCTTAATGAATAGCTGGCACCAGAGTCCTTTTGTATAAAAGTAGGCAAACAAGGGAGATGTGAGAAAGATGCCAGTTTTTGCTGGCAAGTGTAAATTGCCTGCAAATTGGTTGTTACTCAAAAGAAAAAGTAACAGAACAAGCCAGCAATTATAAGGTAGTTATGTTGGGTGAATTTTGCTCATCCCTTTGACCATTGTTTATATAGAGAGTTCAGATTAATGCACTGTGCTCTTTAACATCTAGAGGAACAGCTGAAACATTTTCGGACGGAGATTTAAACTTCATTGCCATCAATATATGGATTGCATCAAGTTCTAACCTCTCCTGTTCATCATTTGCAGGAAAGCTCTGACATTTCTAAACCAACTAAGAAATCAATAAAGCTTTGCTACTACTCAAGTTTCTCTCAAATAAAGAGCTCCTAGTGTTATCAGAAAGCTGCAATGTGTAACTACAGTAGTCCTTCTTTCCCACTTTATTAAATGTTTTTCTAAAAAATAAAAACAACCCCAAAAGTGATAAGAAAAATTCTAAATGGAATACAACAGTGTATGGGCTTCTAATATCATGTGAATGACACAAAACAATTGCCTATCCTACACAACACAGCCTGGTAGTAATGAGCTGTATAGGTATTCCTCAACTTATGACCTCAATTGAGCCCAAAATTGATGTTGCTAAGCAAGACATTTGTTAAGTGAATTTTGCCCAATTTTATGACATTTCTTACCTCAGTTGTTAAGTGAATCACTGTGGTTGTTAAGTTAGTAATGCAGTTGTTAAGTGAATCTGGCTTCCCCATGGACTTTGTTTGTCAGAAGATCACAAAAGGTGATCAGATGACACACACACCCCGACGACTTATAATCATCATAAATATGAGTCAGTTGCCAAGCATCCAAATTTTGATCATGTGAACAGTGGGGATACTACAATGGTCGTAAATGTGAAAAATGGTTATAAGTCACTTTTTTCAATGTTATTGTAACTTTGAACTATCCCTAAATGAATGGTTGTAAGTCAAGGATTACCTGTGACAGGATTGATATGATGGCCTGTTGCTTCTTGCTATGAAGAACAGGACACACAAAAGGAAATTCCCTTTTGGATGCAGCAACTGCTAAATATACCAAAGGGGGAAAATAATACAAAACTTTTAAACTAGTAGAGATTCAAACAGTGCAATTATGGTTTATGGTTTATATTGCCAGGATTTAATCATATGCAGCACAAAAATTATAATTTAAAATTCAAGTATGAGATCCCAGCTTAAAGGCAGAGCATAAGTATATGCCTTTTACTGTACCAATATGCATACTACAGGTCTATCTTCCAAATCTCTACTACAGGTTCAGTGGAACGTGTGAAGAAAATTAGAGACTATGCGTTTGTGCACTTTAATAATCGAGAAGATGCTGTGGAAGCCATGAACATCTTAAATGGCAAGGTAATGATGGATTAGTTCTGCAGTTGCTGGAAGGCAGAGAGAGAGTTGCATGCATGTTGCATAATATGATTCATAATGTTGGTTCTGATACTGGTAACACTGCTGTTGGGGTATAGTGCACACAAATAATGTGCACTATAAAAGGCTTGGCAGAGAGTCTGAAGTGAATTGCTTCTTTTTGCACTTCAGCAGTTTTTCTACTATGAAATATGTGGTTCATTGTTCTTTGGATTTTGAGCTGCCTGATAAATCATTAGAGCCAACCAAAAGCAACTGCATTATTTATAATCCCATAAATGTTCAAGTAGCAAAATACCAGTCTAAACTAGTCCATTTCAACTGTGCACAATTTGTTTTCAAAAATACCAAGTGAGCTCTGTGTGTATGTGTATGTGTTTGTGCCTATGTTTGTTTGTGTCTCTCTGTGTGTGTGTGTGTGTGTGTGTCATGATGTACCTCTCCTGCTGGTCTTCAAACATCTCTGCAAGTCTTGCCCCACTTATGTAGACAATTTTCATACAGTGATACCAAATCTGTATGCCAGTAAATCCAGATTTACACTACAGGAAATCCTCAATTTATAACAGTTTGCTTAGTGACCATTTGAAGTTACAATGGCTCAAAAAGTGACTTATGACCATTTTTCACACTTATGACCATTGTAACATCCTCATGGTCATGTGATCAAAATTCAGACACTTGGCAACTGACTCATATTTATGACTGTTGCAATGTCCCGGGGTCATTTGATCAACTTTTGCGACCTTCTGACAAACAAAATCCTTGGGAAAGCCAGATTCGCTTAACAACCATGTTACTAACTTAACAACTGCAGTGATTCACTTCACAACTGTGCTAGCAAAGGTTGTAAAATGGAACAAAATTCACTTACCAAATGTCTCACTTAGCAAGAGAAAATTTGGGCTCAGTTGAGGTCATAAGTCAAGGACTACCTATATGTATACAATGAAATATTTTCAGAAACTATAATTGCAAATGAGCTACATACCAAAAAAGGCATTTCTTTCATTCCTATGACCCCTTGGTATATGTGTGTATGTATGGGTTAGTATCTAGTATTTTATAAATTATTTATTTTTCTCATCCTATATCTCATATATAGGATGAGATATGTGCTGAATTGGCAAAAGATAGCTCCAAGACCGATGAAGAGGCCTTCATCCTGCAGTGGATAGACAATGACTAGAGTGATGATGATCAAGATGAATGGTATCTCATATATCTTCCTTGTATTCTCTTTCATCTTCAAGGTGTTGGATGGCTCTCCCATTGAAGTTACATTAGCAAAGCCAGTTGACAAAGACAGTTATGTTAGATACACCAGAGGTACAGGAGGACGAGGACCAGCATTGCCAGAATTTACTTACACCTTTGGCCATGTCTATGATCCTGCCACATCTTATCTAGGAGCTCCAGTTTTCTATGCACCACAAGCCTATGCTGCCATTCCCAGCCTTCATTTTCCTGCTGCTAAAGGCCATCTCACCAACAGAGGCATTATTAGGCCTTCATCCATTAGAGGTAATTCTATTGAGCAATGTGAAACGTGTCAGTGTTGTTACCTGGTTGAACTATCCTTCATTATTTTTCTTTTTGATAGGTACATTCTGATATGGAATGGTTCGCTTTAATAAATACCCATGTTCCCTCTCTTACACATATGCACCCATTTTATTTAAAGATCTTTAAGGAAACCTGTATTGCTGTTCAAAATAAAATTAGCCCAACTAATTGACATGTATATGAATGAAATATATGCCTAAAAGAATCTTGGGTGTTGTGATATATGACCTTTATCCAATCTGGTATTTTAAAACTATATTAGAGCTCCCAAATTTAAATCTGCTATATTTAAACTACATTACAGCTCCCAAATTTCCAGTCAATATGCCAATGCCAAGTGGCTGTTATAAGGGTTTTAGTTCAATATAAAGGCACAAATTAGAGAAGGCTAAAATGTATGACTGAGATTTAATTTAAAAAGGTTATCTCATTCAGAATATCAATTGTATTGCTTACAGGAATATTGAGTGAAAATCTGGTTTATGAAGAATTCATAACAGAATTCTTTTGCAACTCTACAAGCAAGTAGCAATTGTATTTAGCAAAAGCATTTAGACACGTTGCAACACTCTCTTGGCGATTTTCAATGTTGAAGCATTATTTGCATATTGCCCCCCAGCACTCTGGGTCCTCATTTTGCTGACCTCAGAAGCATGGAATCAGCCTTGAGTCCCATCAGGATTAAATTCCAGGTTGTGGGCAAAATTTGCCTGCAATACTGCACTTTACCACTGCCCCACCAGGGCTCTTTCTTAGATTTGGGTTATTTGATAGAGCATGAAGTTCTGCTTAAAGGAATAGAACAGACTATTCAGTTTTGAACTAGACCTCTCCTGATTTGCCTTTGATTGAAACCTTAATGAACTAAAAAGTGCCCATGGTAGTGAAATCAAATGTCTCTTTCTAAAAACTAAGAAATTCAGCAAAGAAATATCAAGTGATATACATGGATGTGTGAACCATCCCAAATGCTAACAAAATGAACTAATTCCAATGTGTGATAGGAATGAGGTCAGTAAAACAATCATGTCAAAATTATAGATTAAAATTGAAAAGCTTAACCTTAAATCTCTCTTTTTTTCCCCCAATCTCTACAGCAATTGTGGTTTTGGGCCCCCTGCTTTTTAAAAAAATCCTCCTAGAATTGGCTCCCAGAAAAAAATGAAAATAATAACTGCAGAGAAAAGAGCAAATAAGAAAGTGATTTAGAATTAGTCCAAGACATTCAGTCACCGAGTCTTCAGGCATTTAATAAAAGGGAAAATGGGAAGGCCTGTGTTACATTAATAATGACATAAATAGAAATTCAGTGCAGAAAATATACAATGTGTAAACTAATATTGTGATTGCCCCTTGCAGAAGATTGCAGTTCCCAGGTTCAATGTCTTTTTTTAGCCTGAAATATGTTTAAATAAAAACCTAGGATACCCAAAGACTAAAAATAATTAGAAACCTACATGATACATCCCGGTTCACAATAAAATCCTACTGTTAGCTGTGCGCATTGCTGTGAATTATCACTCTTCATTTCATGGACAATAAATAGAGGTTGTGCTTTGTGTACTGCTCCTTCTCAATGAAGTACATTCTATTAAAATACTAAAAATAATGTAAGAAGCTGAAACTTATAATAGATTATAATGTTATAATAGATCAAGGGTCTTCAAACTTGACAACTTTAAGACTTGTGGACTTCAACTCCCAGAATTCTGGCTGAGGAATTCTGGGAGTTGAAGTCCACAAGTCATAAAAGGGCCAAGTTTGAAGATCCTGCAGTAAAAGGTTACCCACTGTTAATTCTCACATCAAAACTCCACATTAAGCCTGCATGTGCAATCAAGCCTTCCAATACTGTAAGAATCAGGAAGATTTTCCTGTGATTTGATTCAGTTCAATACCTTCTTACATTCCTAGAAATTTACATGAATGTACCTGTAGGGGCTGCTGGAATTAGAGGACTAGGCGGTCGAGGCTACTTGGCTAATCCTGCCCTGGGTCGTGGATACCAGCTGAAAGGAGAAAAAAGAGGGGAGGACAAACTCTATGACCTTTTGCCTGGAATGGAGCTTACGCCAATGAATCACGTCAGTTTAAAGCCACAAGGAATTAAACTTGCTCCACAGGTGGGTAAAACAGATGTAAAGGAAATGTTTCAACTCTTGTTACTACCTTTACCATTCCTGTAAGAAATCTTTGCAGACTGAGCATTTGGGGGGGGGGTATTCTATTTGATTTCACTACACACAGTTTTGACATGGAACAGCATTCCTATATTAGTAACATTGCTTCCCAACTCCTTTCATGCACAATCAGATTATGCTGGATATACTGTCAGATTATAGGAAGTCATCTATGAAAATCCATCCTTTTCTGCACACACAATGCCATGTTATTAACTGATAACCCAAATAAACAATAGTAAACAATAGTTTGTACAGATCAGAAAACTCTTTACCAAAGGTGAAGGTATTTTATGCTTGGCAGAGAAAATGGAGCAAATGTTTGTAAGATTTTTATTTCATTTTGTTTTAAGTCATTGAGTCGGATTTATGGAAAAGTCCATGCAGTTTTCTTGGCAAGATTGCAATGGTGGTTTTCCTACTACACTGCCTTTTTCCAGGATGCTTTCTGGTTTCCCAGTTTAATGTTAAAACAGAGTGACTCATCCAGATCCCTGTTGGTTTCTATGCCTATAGAAACATTGGTATTGGATCCCCCTCTCTCTCTTAATACAGCATTTTAACTGGACCAGTCTTTTTTGGTTTTGATTTTATGATTGTTTTTATTGTAAAGTGACTCCACTTAGAATCACTATATTTAATAAAACAAAGCTATGTACCTTAATAGAATATTTATTAAAGATAAGAAAATGAATGGAGAAATTTTAAAGAACTTTGATAGGCTGCAGATAGCATGAAGCCTTCTGTGTGAAGAGATGCTTATATGGCTAGGAATAAGAGGATACTTCAACCCTCTTTGTCATATGGAAATGGGCATGTCAGGAGACACAGAAAAATCAAATGAGACAGGAATGGGATCTTAAAAAACATATGTGATAAAACAAAAAGAGGTCCAAATGAATGAGAGCTAAATGAAAGTACACAGAACAGAGAAGAGGATGATCAACACAAGAGAAGTAGGTTGAAATAGTTTGAACCAGAAAATGAGTGAGGCCTGATTTGCCAAACAAATGCATGAAGGAAGAGTGAATGGATCAGAACTGATTAGAGGTGAAAAGCAATATATGAATCAATGTATGCCTGAGATGGAAGAAGGGCAGCTTGCACAAATAAAAAATTATGGAAGAAAGGTATAGTGTCAAGTAGATTTAGGTAGGCATTTCTTTGTCCTTATCACCTGCCTACTCACTTCTTTTGTGATTTGCATAATGCCATTCCATAGGTGGTGGGAATGTCATTAGATTCATTTTGTCATTATAGATATTAGAAGAAATCTGCCAGAAGAATAACTGGGGACAACCTGTTTACCAACTTTATTCTGCCATTGGACAAAACCAAAGACAACTCTTCTTATATAAAATCAATATCCCTGCCCTCGCCACTCAGAATCCTACAATGTAAGTAGCTATTATAGCCACTGGGCTTAACTAGGGTTGAGGGGTTTTGTAAATAAACAATTACAATCCCTGGATAATTTGAAATTGCAAAAGAATTAGAAGGATGTGGAAGAGCAGCTGCAGCAGCATCTATATTGAAATTCCATTTTTTTAAAAAACAAAGATTTTTGATGTTTAGGTTTCAGAATAAATAAAGATGAATTTAGATACATTGATACACATACGTGTATCTACAACTGTGTATGTGTTTGTGTAGACTAGACTAGAATATAAATGACATTTAAATATAAACCAGAGAAGTGAGTGCTTTCTAATAACCCAACCAGCATGGCCAAAGATGAAGGATGCTTGGCCTTACATCTCATCAACATCTGGAGGTCCATATGTTCCTCATAAAATCTAAAACCTACACATCCAAATGGATTCTCAGTGAGCCAAGAATCCTACAGTGATAAACTAATTCTGCATGGTTTAGTATCTGTGCCGTGTAGCCTGATAAATTGAGGCATATGGATTCTCCATGGCTATTTATGTAGAAATGATGGCTCAATTTAAGACTCCTACCTAAATGGGGAAGTTTTCTCATCATTGTTGGTATTCTGGCACTTAATCTTATTTTGTATCTAATTTTATTGTTCAGTGGAATTCCTAATTCCACTAAATGCTGCTTTTATGATTTAACAACAACAACAACAATAATAATAATACTTCAGAATTCAAACAGACAAGCACCTGCAACATAACACCCCAGACTTAACAATTGTCGATAAGAAAGACAAAAAAGTCTGGATAGAACTGGAGAAGATAACAAAATACAAAGGCCTACAAATAGAAATAGAAAGACTGAGGCAAAGGCAAGCAAGGGTAGTACCAATAGTAATAGGTGCCTTGGGCGCAATCCCAAAACAACTAGAGCACCACTTGAACACCACTGGCATTGACAAATTCGCCATTAGTCAATTGCAAAAGGCGGCCTTATTAGGAACTGCTTCCATCTTGCGACGATATCTGTAATACCATCAAATATCCACATCTGCCTATCCCAGGTAAGGACTCGATAGATAGACAAAATGCCAAATCCAGTCTGAACATCTGGCTGACTGTGCGATGATGAAGAAGAAGAAGAAGAAGAAGAAGAAGAAGAAGAAGAAGAAGAAGAAGAAGAAGAAGAAGAAGAAGAAGAAGAAGAAGAAGAAGAAGAAGAAGAAGAAGAAGAAGAAGAAGAAGAAGAAGAAGAAGAAGAAGAAGAAGAAGAAGAAGAAGAAGAAGAAGAAGAAGAAGAAGAAGAAGAAGAAGTTGGAAGGGATCTTGGAGGTCATCTAGTCCAACCCCCTGCTCAGTCAGGAAACCCTATACCATTTTGGACAAATGGATGTCCAGTCTCTTCTTAAAAACTTCCAGTGTTGGAGCATTCACCGCTTCTGGAGGCAGGTTGTTCCACTGGTTAATTGTTCTAACTGTCAGGAAGTTTCTCCTTAGTTCTAGGTTGCTTCTCTCCTTGGTTAGTTTCCATCCATTGCTTCTTGTCCTGCCTTCAGGTGCTTTGGAGAATAGCTTGACTCCCTCTTCTTTGTGGTAGCCCCTGAGATATTGGAACACTGCTATCATGTCCCCCCTCGTCCTTCTCTTCATTAAACTAGACATACCCAATGTCATACAATGAACTCTAAAAGCAGATGCAGGAGCCCCAGAGGGTGAAAAATAAGCTCTGACATACTATCCCATACCCGCTAACTCTTTTCTCTGGTTAAATTAAGGATTAACAAAAAGCCACAACAAAAAAGCTTTGAAAACAGCAAAGACTGAGAAGAGAAACACTTAAAATCAGAAGTGCCAATGCTGACTAAGGTCCAATGCATTTCAGGAGAAAAAAAAAAATCCTTTCTTTAGTGACATTCCAAAGTGTACTAAAAATATACAAGATTACATTTACATTTCATAGTGAAATAATTTACAAACTGATATCTGTTATCAATTATTTTGCAGGCATATTGATTAATGTAGGATTATTTTAAATTATTAAATTATTTTAAGCTGGTCAGTGATTCAGCCAGAGGAGGAATGCAAGGGACTGTTCCCAAAAGTACTAACTTTGAGAAGATCAAAGCAATTAATATTTGCTGCTTTTTTTTATAGACATCCCTTCACACCACCAAAGCTAAGTGCCTATGTAGATGAAGCCAAAACATACGCAGCAGAACATACTCTTCAGACACTGGGGATTCCCACTGAAGGAGCAGAAAACTCTGCCACTAATGTACCGTTTCCTGGTATGTAATGGTTGTATTTTGCATCAGACTAACTTAAATTAAACTAAGAAAGTTTAGCAACAAACCTCTGCATAAAATCTTCTGAAATTCTGGTGACTCCTGACTATTACAGCATGGTGGGGCATGAGGAAAAGAATTGATGCCAAATGGGTTTTTTTGTGTGTGAAATATTACAATCCAAATATTTTTTCCCCAGGATAATTAAATGTAACCCTATAAATTGACTATTCATAACGAAATTCTAAAGAATTTGCTTTTAGAAGAATGGGTACAGGTTTGCCGTCAGAGTACATATTTAAAGGTAGCAAAATCACAGTCACATTGAATTCTTGCACCTTTGCAAGTATTTAGCTGCTTCTCATTATGATAGTTCAGTTTTTAAAAATCACTGTTTCTTTGGGCAATTAACAGCTTAGTCAGACTGCTGCATACTCAACCAAAATTAGAAGTGTCATTAAAAGAAGTCTTAAGGGAAATGTATGAAACTGCTCTGAAACACAGAGCTTGAATTAACACTTTTGGTTTATTCCAATAAATGGCCTTTTTGCTATCACACAAACTTTTTTTTTTATTTTAAATTTTGGCAGCCAGTGGCAATAACACCAACGAAGTGTGGGAGTGATTTGTGTGTGTATGTGAATCGATTGACTCATTCTCCAGTTTTGTAAGCCACAATTACACTTCTCAAGTAAGAATGAGCGCTGACATGCAAACAGCGGTTTCTGTGTTAGGGTACTATTTTTTCAGAGTGAATTCCCTATCCTGCTTCAGTGATTTCAGTAAAGCCTGAGAAATGTAACAGATGAACATGGATGAGCACAAAGCTTTGAGTCATTTGCAGTTTTTAACAATTACTAGAAAGCTAGTGTGATGAGCTAGGACAGGGGTGTCAAACTCAATTTCACTGAGGGCCGCATCAGCATTGTGGTTGCCCTTGGGGGGGCTGGGTGAGTGTGGCCAGAGTGAGTGCAGCCTACTGGGTGGACGTGGATGGAGTGGGTGTGGCCTACTGGATGGGCGTGGCCAGTTCTACATCATTCGCATCAAGGGTGCCTGTGGGGGCCTGGGCAGGAGTGGGACAGATCTTAGGGTCAGGATGGCTTCATGAGCCACATGAAACCACTTCGTGGGCCGCATCCGGCACCCTGGGCCTTGTGTTTGACATGTCTGGGCTAGGAGAAGGGAGGAATCTCATTGTAGAAAAGCAAGGCATAGAAACACCTAGCAGGCCCCTACAGCCATAGAAGTACACGGATACATATATACATGAATCAGGACAAAGTCATAGTTCCAGTGCTAATATATAACTACGGGTAGTCCTGGACTTACGTCCACACTTGAGCCCTAAATTTCTATTGCTAAGCGAGACAGTGGTTAGGTAAATTTTGCTCCATTTTACGACTTTCCTTGCCACAGTTGTTAAGTGAACCCCTGCAGAGGTTAAGTTAGTAATACAGTTATGAAGTGAAACTGGCTGCCCCATTGACTTTGCTTGTCAGAAGGCTGTTGAAAGATGACCACATAGCCCAGGACACTGCAACCGTCATAAGTATGAGTCCATTGCCAAGCATCTGAATTTTGATTGCATGACCATGGGGATACTGCAAAGGCCGTTGTTGAGTCCTTGGATCAACGGCGAATGAAGAGAAGACATTCTGCTCATTACAACAGACTTTATTCAACAGTTCACACTCTCCGACACAGCTCTGAGGCTCGCAGGCCTCTCTGACTCCTTTTAACAACGTCCCCGTGCAGAATGTAACAATTAGGCACGCTCTGAGCCTCGTGCATGTGTGCGAAGCCGGCGCCAGCCTGTCTGGTCCCGGGCAGCTTGCAACTGCCCGGGACCATTGCAACGTCCCGAGCCTGCCTTTGCAGGCTCAGGACACAACACCCCTTCCCCCCCGGATGAGACTTATTAACTATATAGGTAGTTATACGTGACCTCAACATGAGCGTGGTGTGCCAACCCCAAACCTGCACATCTATTGCAGCTGTGCAATACCCGCACCACAAATGGTACCGGGCTATAATTCTGGGATTAATACCCAATGCCCATACTTCCATTTTTCACAACAGCAGGCACCCTCTCACTTTTTCTGCTTTGCCAGCAGGGTTACAAAGTCCTCAAGATACTTGGGAGATCTTTTTACTCTCTGTGACCTCCTTAGATTCTGAGAATCCCCTACTTCCTCTTGTACAGAGGATGACGTGGAGTTGCCCCCTCTTTCAAACCCTGGTGGTCCCCATGAACTGTGCCCTGTTGCCTGGTCTGCTTGCTTGCCCACCGGGCCCGTCAGACCAGGACTTTGCTCCCCCATGAACCTGGTTGACCTGCCTAACTGTAGGCTCTCGGGCCCCTCTTACTGTTTGGCATTTCTGTAGAGCCCTCCAAGCCCACAATGGACCTATCAAGGGAACGCATCCCTTCACTCCCAAGCCCCATAACGGGATTGTCTGGGGTTTCTGCAGTGCCCCAAAACTCAGTTGCCCCCCAATCTATGCCGGAGGTGCCAGAATTGGAATTTACCCCTCCGACCACCTCCCTATGTGAAGGCTTCCTTCTGGAAACAGTGGCAGTACTGGGCCAACTTGACTGTTTGTGTGCCAGCTCTCTTGCAATGTTTGGGTTATTAGGATGCTCCCAGTTATTCTCCCTGACTGGAGTGCTGAATGGTATTTGTGAATGATGAGTATGCCCCCTGGGTGACTCCCTGGCTGGAGTAGGCACTGGTGCCTGTGTGATTTCTTGTTCCCTTGAATTCCTGTTTGGAACACTTGCGGAACCTTGGAACAGGCCGTCTGTGGCCTCCCAGTTTGGCCCCGGCTGCTGCCAACACCTCTCCCTTTGCCCATAGTGGTCCCCCTCAGTACTTGAATGGTCTTGACAGCAGTGGTTGAAGAGACAGGTACAACCTCAAGCCACTTTGAATAGCTGTCAACAAGGACCAAGAAGAATTGACCCTGAAAGGGCCCAGCGTAATCAATGTGCACCCTAGACCAAGGTGACTATGTTTCCTCCCATCTATGTACAGGAGCCTGAGGCATTTCCGGGCGTGAGCACTGACACAAGTGTCATCCGTGCACCTGAGCCTCTATTTCCCTGTCTAACCCTGGCCACCACAAATGGCTGCGCACAAGCGCCTTCATTCTGACAATGCCAGGATGGCCCTCAGGAAGGGAAGCCAAGACCCTAGGCCTCATTGAGGTAGGAATAACAACTCTGCTGCCCCACAGCAGACAACCTGAAAAATGGATAACTCATGTTTCTTAAGCCAGAAACTCTGAAACTCAGCACCTAGACAACTCTCTGGCCATCCAGACAAAACCCAGGACAATACACGAGTGAGTGTGAGGTCCGTGGCTGATTCAGCAGCCACATCCCTGGCATTTAAAGGTGACTCAGGCAATGCCTGAATGGAAAAAATGTTGATGGCAGGGGTAGGGGCAGCCTCTACCATTTGTAAAGGTATTCTGCTAAGGCCATCAACATGGCCCATTTCCTTGCCAGGTTTGTGAACCAAAGAAAAGTCATAGGCTGACAGAAAGATGGACCATCTCAGCATTCTGGGGGAGATGATATGGGGGGTTTGTTTGTTTGTAGTAAACAACCCCAACAGAGGCTTATGGTCAGTGTAGACTGTGAAGTGTCTGCCATATAGGAAATCATGGAATTTTTTAATTCCAGCAACAATGGCCAAGGCTTCTCTATCCATCTGAGCGTAGGTTCGCTCAGCAGAAGACAAGGTTCTAGAGTAATATGCAACAGGAACCTGAGTTCCATCAGGTCTTAGATTGCTAAGTACTGCTCCCACCCCATAAGGGGAAGCATCACAAGCGATGCACACAGGAAGAGTTTCATTAAAATGTGCAAGCACATCATTTGATGTAAGTAAGGCCTTAACCTCATTGAAGCTTGCTTCATGTGCTTGTGACCATTGCCACACTGCCTGTTTGTCCAAGAGCCGATGAAGTGGCTCAGCTACATTAGCTTTGTTAGGTATGAATACATTGTAAAAGTTCAAGAGGCCCAGAAAAGCTTGTAATTCAGTTTTAGACTTAGGCCTAGGAGCCTGCAGGATAGCCTTTAATTTAGACTCAGCAGGGTGAATGCCCTCGACATCTATTCTGAATCCCAGGAAATCTGTAGAAGACACTCCAATTTTGCATTTGTCTTTTTTAAGCTTGAGGCCTGTTTTCCTGAAACGCAGCAGCACAGCCCACAACCTCTCAGCTAAATTTTGAGTGGATTCTCCTGCTATTAGGACATCATCAAAATAGGGGCAAACCCCTGGTATATCCCTCAGGGTGTTTTCCATTACGCTTTGGAAAATTCCAGGAGCCACATTTACTCCAAATTGTAGTCTTTTGACTTTGAATGCCCCCCTATGAGTTACAATAGTTTGTGCTTCGGCAGCAGCTTCATCAACAGGTAACTGTTGATAAGCCTGTGCTAAGTCCAGCTTTGCAAAAACACACCCCCCTTTGAGGGAGGCCAAAATGTGGCTGACTACAGGTACAGGATATGCATGCTGTTGCAATGCCTTGTTTAGAGTGCATTTGTAATCTGCACAGATGCGAATGTCCCCTTAAGCCTTAAGAGGCGTGACAATGGGAGTTTCCCAAGGACTTGAGTCAATAGGTTCTAAGACACCTTGCTGAATCAATTTGTCCAATTCAGCATCAATTTTCCCTTTCAAAGCAAAGGGTACTCTCCTTGCTTTTACTCTGATAGGAGTGACAGTGGGGTCCAGTTTCAAGGAAACTGGAGGGCCTTTGTATGTTCCCAGCTGAGGGCTGAAGACATCTGCAAATTCTTTGCAGACTTCCTGTAGACCTAATGTTTGCAAGCTGTGAAGCCCTGTAACTTGTATTCCCAAGGCCTCAAACCAATCGAGTCCAGTGAGACTCGTGCGTTCACCCCCAACTATCAATACATCTAATGGACCTTCAAAATCCTTCTGTTGTACATTAAGGGTGGCCTCCCCCTTAACACACAC